TTAGGGGTTTTTTTGTCCATTTTGGAATGAAGAAGAGTCACCAAATGGCTGTGTAGGGGGAACAGTTTCTGGTGCAGTCACGGACAAGCGCTCGCAGCAGCGGCTGTCGCGATGAGCCACAGTGGAGCTCCCTCTCGTGCTGGACTGTCCGTGGCTCTGGATACAGCTGCTGTGTCACCAGCTCCACGCTGGCAACCTCCTACTAGCACTGCAGGGAGGCTATTCCCACTGCTGGCTAGCTGTGCCTTCCAGTGCTAGAGGAACCTGGTTGTAGATTTATATCCTTCTGGGCATCCGAGACGTGTTTAATGGAGTGCAGTATCTGCATCCCTGGGGTGTACTGAGGGGTTCTCTGATCAGGCTCAGCAGGACACCAACCACGTGCTTTACACTTGTCAATTTTTATGCTTCTCATCTGAAAACCCCGAACAACAGCCTGGTTCTTGGAAAGCTTCCAGCAGCTGTGAGAGTGGCACTAACACAGGGGCACACCCACACTGCACTTGAAGCGCTCCTTCAGCGGGTAAACACCCTTCATGCTGTAAATAAAGCTGAGCTGGGGGTAAAACAAAGGTTTTATATCTGTACTATGGGCATTTCCTGGAGCAGCACTGTCAGCCACAGTCACATCCGCCTCACCGGGCTGAGCAGGAGGAATCCTGGGGCGCTCAGAGGCCACAGGTAAAACCACACAATCCCAATTTGTGTGGTTTTCAGCATGGCTAATCCTAAATCCAGCCTGGATCAAACAAAACCCTCACTCATTCCTAATTCCCCCAAATTAATGCTCACATTGCTGTGTACATGCTGTTAGCTAACAGAGCACTCAGCAGACATCATCCTCCATAACATGCTGGGCTGTTTAGAAGACTTTTTGCTTCTTGCTGCTTATTGCCAACTCTGCCAGCACAAGTATTTCCCAATCTGCCTGTAGCAAGCCCAAAATGTTCCCTCCTGCTGATAGAAATGTGAGGAGCTGAGCTCAGGAAGAGAGAGAGTCCCTGACAGAGAGCAGGGGGAAAGGATGAAGAAAACAATGTGCTTAAAAGGTGTCATCATTTACAAAAGTAGCATCTGGCCAATGTAATTCTCCCTTTGTGGCAGCTGCTAAGTGCCTTGTTAAATTGTGGGCCAGATATATCCATCTTTACATGCAGGAGCTCTTTTGGTTGGGCACATGTAAGTCCCAGAGACAGAGAATATGGAATCAAGGTTAAACTGCCTTCCCAAGCAGTGGCAGCAGGAATAAGGTGCTTCCAGTACCTTAGCTCCTACTTTTCTGGCTCATTAATGTAGTTCTAAAATCTAATTAATAACAAAGACTGTCATTCATTCCCTCCTCTCCTGCTTTCACAGTGTCTGGAAAATTGTGTATTGAGGAACAGGAGAGTACCAGTGTCACTAAATTTTAATATGTATGTGATTCATCAAGCTGGTGAAAAAGCACAGCTCTTAACTCAGTGGATTATCTTCTTTAAAGTTTGATTTCATCTGAACTGCCTAGGAATTTGAAAATTTTCAGAGTTTCCTATAGAGGAAGCCAAGAGGCTTCCCAGCCTCAACAGCTCTGTAGACACTTGATATTTGTACAGAGAAGCAGATCTATAACATTTTAACAAAACAAACAAACAAAAAAAAAAAGATTGAATCAAACCAACCAGCTACTTCAAAAGAGAATTTCAGCCAAGATCTAGTGACCCCCTTGTGTGGGACAAACAGTATCACTTGCATCTTCAGCTGTACTGCTACTCATCTCTGTGATGAAGTGATGCAGACAACCCAGATGGCATTGTGAAGCAGGGTGACACTGAGGGGGTCCATATGTCTTGTGACCTGTCAGTGAAGGGACAAGTCACCTCTCAGGCTATGGAGACTCATTCAATTACTAAAAGAGGGGACCCCTTAGCAAGAAATATCTCCCTTCAGAATGTCTGCATTTAAAGAAACCAGAGTAACTTAGGGCTCAGGTGGGCTGGTCACGGTGCAAAGGGATTGCTAGTAAAAAACTACTGAGCAAGAAACTCTTCCCCTTCCTTTCCTGCCAGCTTGGACCCAGGATGTGAGCTCCACCCACAGCCTCACAGTGGAAGCAGAGATAAAATCTTGTGCAGTGAGTCCTGGGCTTCACTGGCAGAGCTGACTCACCTAAATGCTGCTCCTGAGCCCGGTGGAGGGGAACTCCACCAGAGGAGAGAGGGAGCTGCAGTTTAAATGTGCATGCTGACACACACACACATGATGCCTGGCTGCTTGTTGTCTGTGTTATTTATCTGAATAAGCAGCAGCATCAATCTGGATTGCTCCCAGGTTCAGACCCACAGGAGAAGTATTCAAGCATTTGGCTTTCTGAGAGTGATTTTGAAACTTCCTTCCTGACCTTTGTTGGATGGTGATTGTCAAATCCTCCCCAGAGAACCTCTGGCTCAGTCCCAGCTGGATTTAGCTCTAAACTAATGGTTCAGAGGAGAAATAGGATCAGCCCTTTTCTCCTTCACATCTTCCTTCCCTGCCAGCAGCCAATTTCTTGTGCACTGCTACAAAAATATTTCTAATAACAAGTAACAACTCCCAAGGATGCTCCTATCCCTTGCTGTGCCAAGGCTTGTGATCACATCAGCACCTTGGTTCTCAAGCATCTGCCAAAACCTGATGGCTTCAGCCAGCACGACGGAGCGAGGGTGAGCCAGCTGTGATATAACAGGCAGAGTTTAGGTTCCTGGGGAGTCTTCTTTGCAGAGATGGGCTTCTTCATTTAATGGGCTTTGGATCTTAGTTAACACATTGCTTCATGTACAGTGCGGGTGTAAAGAAGCTGAGTGCACATAATAAAAAACTTGGCCTATTTGTACCTAGGGGAGTCCTAATAAATTTGCCACTATAGCAAGTGTTAGTCTCCAGGGCCAATACTGAATGCTGGAGTTTAATAAAAAAGAATTCTGAAACAAAAGAACTGAAAGGTAAACCAGTTCAGCTGACAAAGCAAACACAGTTTAATTAAAAATGAAGTTTTCTCCTGGCCTTGACCAGTCCCAAGGAGCAGTGTGTGTCTAAAGCTGGCTGTGTCTGGTCTGCCTTCTGATGGCTGTTCCCAGGGTGCATTTTCCTAGCACACTATCAGAGGTCTTCCAGACTGGGCTGAAAGCACTTCTCAGAGTGTGTTCAGGCCATTGTTAGGGCAAAGATGGGTAAGTAAGTCATGAAGGATGACATGTTCCAGGGGTCTGCCTGTATACAGCATTAATGTCACAGTACTCTAGCTTGTGCTGGGACTTAGAAATCAGGTCAGTAACTGCCACCCTGCCATTTGGCCAGCCCAGAGGAGTGGGTATTTTGTCTGTACAAGTAGAAGTCACCATCTTAGATGCTCCAGGACACTGTAGAGTGATTTGGCTGTGCTGTCTGAGACCAGAAGCAGCTTCAGTAGCTTCCATGCCTATCAGAACACAGTTCTGGAAGCTGCCTTTTGTTGCTCTGCATATGAAAACTCTCTTGGTAAAATGACACAAGTGGTGGTGTTCTTTGCCTTCTCTGTTTCATATTATGTATGCTATATTGAAAAAACAGACTACAGAAGAAACCATTGAAATTAAATACTAGAACAGTTAGGCAAGCCAATATTTTGAATTGGAATGAGATTTAACTATTACTAGTTTGTTGTAAGAAATGTCTCCCAACTCCAAAATATGATGCTCAGACTTCTGAAACAGCAGACAAGCACCTACTTGTGGCAGACATCTTAGAGCAGACAATAAGGACACTACAGTTGGATTATTAAAATATTGTCAACACCTCTCTTTCAACTAAGGCTGGATGTCCTACAGGCCAATGAAATTCACATTTTTACAAGCCAGGTCTGTGTAAAATCTTCTTTGGTAGTTATCAGGAAAAGATCTTATTTTGTGGTAATATGGCCACCTAAAGTCAATATTTTAGTACATTACAGAGGAAGTTTTTAACTGGAAAGAATAAAGCGTTGTTTATTGTACTCTATTACTGTTTTATTTATGGTATTGTGGTGGTGCAACCCCCCCGCCCTCAGGATGCACTGTGATCTCAGAGAGGGGTGTCAAACTCTTCAGTGGAGAGGTCTGAATTATGTGCTTGGGGCTCGGGTATCAGTTCAGGGCATCTGACTTCCCCTGCTTCACACACTGCTTCCACCGCACCGCCAGCCAAGCACAACAGGATCTTTATCGAGCAGAGCTCTTTCAGAGGGAGAATGTGCCACAGCAGCACACCACAAGCATTTCATCTCCATCCCCTGTTGCCTTGTGGTCCACCCAGCAGCAAATGACTTCCTCCCACACTGCCCTGGCTTCTCTGTGCTGCAGGGAAGCAGAAAGCTTGTGTGCACAGCAGAAGTGCAGACCTCCCAGAGACACAGCCCTGCCAGCAGGCTTTTATCCCTGGCCATGACCTGGGATGGGAGACTCCTCTGGGAAGTGGAGAGGTCATCCCAAATTCACCAAGGGCAACAATCTGTGGGGAACAGAGGGGAGGGCACCAACTGCATGAGGGAAGAGTTTAATGGTAAACCAGGATCTTTATCTGCATGCACATGGCCTTCAGCGTTGTTGTAAATAATACTCCTAATAAAGAGCCAATTAGACCAACAATCTCATTACTATCCAGCATGCAGTGTACGAAGGACTAGCCTAAAGCATAACTGGGCAAAAGTGAAAACACAGCTCCACATTTCTTGTTATAATGTACATAGGCATAAGCAGACTAAAATAGATGTGTGAGAGGCACCAAGCACGGAGAGCTGAGAGAATGGCACACAACCTTATAAAGAATCCCCAGGGTGTGACACTAACCCCCATAAACAAAACCCAGCCCAACATGCTGTGGGCACCCCACACACGTCCCAGGCTCCTGGATGGCCCTGCCAGAGCCCCCCCAGAGCCAGGCTCGGCCCTGGAGCAGCAGGAACTGCAGCAGGGAGGTGGCACAAGGGGAGAGGCTTCCACCAGGGCTGGAGGCAGGACCATGGGCTTTCCACAGAGCCATGAAAGAGGACGCAGGGAAGGTGGGGGATGAGAGTGAGCCTGGGCATTGTGGGTGCCTGTGATTTCTTGGGAAAGGAGCCCAGGACTGGAGATGTTTTGCCAAACCTAAGCAAGCAACACTGGCAGGCTGAATGTCCACGCTATGCATGACTCATGCTAGTACAGAAACTCAGAGAAAATTACTGCCTAGGAACCAGTGACAATGCAGTGAGATGTCAAACAAAACATATTTGTCTTACATCCATCCCTTAAACCTTGGGCTTCCAATTTTCCTTCACCAAAAAAAACCCCATGCAGACTAATTTTGGAATAGCTCTCATGTAAATCATCCCCTTGGGCTTGGGTCTCTCAAGCTGAGGTTCAGCCTGAGTGACTTTTTATAGCTGAGTTATAAACTTTTAAATGCCAGACTTAATCAGAGCTACTGAAATGGCCATTAGAGTGGTTTAAGTGGCATAGCCCTGATATATGACAGCACAGAAAGTAGGCGGGTGGCTCATCTGCAGTGGACAGTCCATCTGGAAGGGAGCAGGGTCTGGTGGCTAGAAACAAGCACGACTGAGACACAGATCTCTGGAGTTTTGCTTTTGCCCTTGTGCTACTGCTGAGTGAATTCGAGCAAGCCCTCTTGGGATGCCCTGCCCTGAGCAGCCAGGTCTCAGATCAAAGCCTTAGAGGCTCACCATGCCCTGGTTGCTCCAATATGCTGACAAGAGCATGAATATTTATCTGCCTCCCCTCAGGAAACTGCAAGAATTGTAAGAGAATTTGCCTAGGGTTTAACAGGGCATTGTGTACACTCAAAACACACAAATCAGCCTCATTTTTGGCTTAGGGAATTAACCCACAAAATCTTACTGAATAATTATAATCACAGACACATTAGACACTGAAGAGCTCAGGCTTAAGGGGAACTAATGCTGCTTTGCTCCTTACCAGGAGGCTCTGTAAAGCTTTGTGTCCCCCAGTATTGCAAGTTCTGAGACACTCAGCAGGTTCCAGCTGTGCATGGGAGAGCCTCCCTCACTCTGCAACATCACTGGTCTAAGCAGAACTGGGCAGTCATCAATGTGAAAGCACAGAGGAATTGATCCGAATGAAAACAGTACAGGAGCTTTTCAGGGTCTTCTTTCTAAATTTATTCAAGTATTAAACAAACAGAAACTACAGCATGCATCAGATACTTTCCTTTATTGTACAACAAAACTGTGGACTTGTTTGTTTTTTTGCAGCATTTCCAGCAACATCAGACTTGTCGATGTTATCCAGTTTTGCACAGTCACTAGAGTGTCGCATCATGAATTATTAAATCAGTGCTTCGTGGTAATACATAATTTCTTATCAATTATTCATGCTAATGTGCGTGTAGTTTACTTAATTGTGTTATTGACGATCAAAAGTAATTTCCTGAAAATCCTCAAGGACAGAAAATTTAATCAGCGTAACTACTTTTCAGATGCAATGCTGTTAAGTATTCTTAATTTGCTCAACAATTCACTTATTTATGTACCTTTCTGGAGGAAATACGAGTTTAATCAAACAATTAGATTGAAGAGTTAGTGTACAGAAGGGCTGAAGTTCAACTGAATGCAAGGTAATTATGTTGAAACAAAGTTGGGCCTGCCTCTTTGGACTGGAATATTTTTTTTAGTCTTTTTTAGGAGGAAGAAAAAAAATTATGATTGGGAATATCACTAAGAAAACAGTGATTCTCTCTCCTCCAACCACTCCCCACAACAAAGCACATGGCAACCTCTTTTATTTCGGTGGAAGAAAAGGGTTGTTGCTGTTGTTAAACTAAGCCATAACTTGCAGCCAGAGCCACCTCCACCCACAGTTCAGCAGAGCAGCTCCTGAAGCTGGAGCACGAAAGCAGATCACAGACTACATGTTCCTCTCCCTGCATTAAGGGTCACACTGTGTGGCAGAAGTAAAGCAAAATTACTCCATTTGATGAATGTGGGCCCTGTCTGACTTTTCTTTGTTCTCTGACCAAAGGACAGACCCAGCAATGCCCTGCTCTACTGGCTTGTGCCACTCTGGGGCTGCCTGCTGCCCTTGGCTGCTCCACAGTGATGGTGCTTGGTGCTGCTAAGTGACCCCACGAACACCAGGGCTCCCAGCCTTTCAGCTGACATCAAACCATTCCTCAGGGAAAGGAAGGTGTGCACTGGGGGTGTGAAAGGGTCCTGTGAGCCCCAGAGAAGCCACAATTTCACATTTCTATGAAATTCATGGGCTGAAATCACTTACATGGAGGAGACAAATTTTTGCTGCCAGCCTTACTCAGGACCACCTTTCCAAGCCCACCCCCAAACCTGGATCCTGTGAACAGCTAAACAAGACCTGTGTAAAGGCATGTGCCCAGCACATTTCTGGAGGTCTGCACAGTGTGCAGGATCAGAGGTGACAGGAATCCTTCCACTAGCTTCCATGTTACTTAATCAAAATCTCAGAAAAGTGGTTTCAGTCTGTTCTACAGGGACACCTGTAGACACACCTGAGAATCTTCAAATGGCACCTGGAAAATTCAAGTACATGTCACTAAGTTTAAGTCCACATGTGCAGCTCCCATGGAAAAAAATGAGTTAACCCAGATTAAAACGACTGCCCTTCAGATATTAGTCTGATTTGCTCTGGGGAGGTTTGGGTGGGAGATAAGACTAAATTTACTAAGGCCTCAATTTCTCCTTTGCACTGTTTCCAATCTATAATAATTAATATATTTTCATATCTAGATTTGTTACAACAAACTTTCAGTAAATGGAATAATCTAAATTTGGATGGCATAAAGGAATATCTTTCCAAGCTTTATTTCCTCTTTATTAAACATAAATCATGAAAAAACATATCTGCAGTCTTGCAATGAAGGATCATTTTTGTCTTCCAGTCTCCTTTTCCAAGACAGTGATGTCAAAATACCCCCAGCTTTGTGCAGATCTAGAGACAATTCACTCTCCATTAAATACCAGCATTACTGTTTGAAGCTGTGAATTCCACTCTGAAGTCATGTGTCTTTCATGTCTAACCCAGAGAATGGCAAGAGTTCACTAATGTTCACACACAGGGCAGTGCAAGGATTTTAGTCACAAGTAAACTGATCTCAGCAATTTCCCAATAATCTACTCCATGGGAAGTTTCACTTTCAAAGAAAAAAATAAAGGAAAAAAAAATATGAAGAGTTTTGTTCTATTTTCTGCTTCTCTTATGCCTGGATTGCCTGGGATAGGTTTGGTTAAAGTCAAATGCCTTCAGAAAATAGCAGGCCAAATTGGGATATACCTGGATATTCCTTCCCCTCTGTTGTGTGCAGTGGAGTACCTGGTGCCTGGGTGCATCTCTTGCCCCAAAGCTCACATCTGGAAGTGACGTGCTGCTTCCAGCCATCCATTTCACGCAGGATGGGAAGCCGAGATGTGCAGGAGCAGGCCGGGATCCTGGACCTTTCAGTGTCCCTGGGATGTATGGGGCGGGGAGGGGGGGAATAAAAACAGTTTCACGAACATTTCCAAACACAGATAGTGCTGATAAATCAGGGAAATGAACCTACAGCGACACAAGAAAAGCAAGGGTGCATGAAAGGCAGCCACTCAGGCCACTCAGCTGTGCCGGGTCCCTGGTGGCACCACGATGTCCCACTGGGCATGGCCACACTGCAGTTCATGGCAGAGCGCCGGCGGCGGGCCACTGCCCTGGGCCGAGGGGCCAGCACCACTCCGGTCTCATACGCTCTTCTCCCCTTCCATGTGCTCCTTGGCTGGGGAGGGCTGCTTGTCCTGGCTGCCCTCGGGGCCGGGTTTGGCAGGAGGAGTGGGGCTGCTGGCGGCAGGCAGGAGGTTGGCAGACTGGAGCACGGCCTCCGAGTGCTCGCGCGCCTTCATGCGCAGCGCGGCCACGCTGGCGGTGCGGTTGCTTTGGCAGCCGTAGGTGGGCAGGAAGGAGAGGCCCATGGGGTCTGGAACGCAGCACGAGCACAGAGGGCTCCCTGGGGAGGAAGGAGAGAAGGCACCATCACTGCTGGGGAAGGTCATGGAAACCGATTGTTCCCTCCCTGGTCAGTCTGAAGAGGTGGGGTTGACCTTTAGTGGGTACATTGACCTTTAGTGAGTACACAGGTGTCGTCTGAATCACTAGGGCTAGAACACCCATATTCTGTTCTGCTGATCCTCCTGTAAGAAGGATCTTACCCTGGGAGTCATCCAGGGTGACAATGGAGTGCAAGAGGGAAGTAGAGACAGAAGCGAGCAGTGAAGTTCAGATCACACAGGAGATCTCCTCATAAGCAAGGCTCAGCTCACTCCCTCCTCTCATTTCAAGCTGCTGTTCTGTGGCTGCCATCAGCCCTGTGCTGGAGATGTCCCCTGGCCTCCCCCTGCAAACTGAGCTTGATCAATGTGGGCAGCAGCATTTGGTGAGTGAGTGTAGGAGTTCTGCCGCTTATCTTTGCCTGCAAGATTACAGCAGAGAGAAAGGTGAAAATATTCCACTTGCTATGATGACCTTCTCCTACCTCACTGTAAAATGAAATACTTTTCCTTGGCCTCTGCCAACTACTGGAACCATGTCCACTTGCCAAGAGCCTGTTCTACCTTTACCCATTGCTAAAAGGGTGACACCTCAAAGAGAATGGCCCCCAGAGGTGAGCCAAGGCTACCTAAAGTTGCTGCTGTGATGCAGCTTAAGAGTCCCATCAGGACAGATGGGCCAGAGCATCTCTACCCTGTCATTTGAGATACATGGCTGTTCCAAGCAGGCAAGAAAACACTGGAGAGCAGATGAAGTGATTTCTGTCTCTTGAAGCCAAAATCTTCCCTGCAACCCACTGACAGAGGCAGTCCTCACTCCACCAGCTGCCTTCCTGAGATGGAACACTGCAGGCTCTTCCTCTGGTTTCTCTTTGATAATGCTGGAGCTTGGGCCAGCTCCCAGACAAGCACACCTGGAAGATTAGGTTGATCACTGGGTAGGACACAGAGTCCATCCAAAAAGCCACACTAGTATCCAGCTTAGAGGCATCTACTGAATGACGGAGAATGTGCCAGAGGAGTAGGAGGGTGGATGGGCTGAGCTACTTCTTGAATTTACTCTCTGGTTAAAGAAACAGACACCATCAGTCACCATTTTTCCAGGGGTCTTAGAGGCCACACCAACTCTACATCCTCAGGTACACCCCTGGCAAAAGCCTGTCTTTTGTTGACATGCTACCTTTCAACAAGAAACAGCCCAGCCACACACATCCTGACACGATGCAGTATCTTCCCCTGATCTTTCCAAGCCAAGGACTTGCTTTAATTTCTGCAGTTAATATTTGAGTTAAATGGCTCATGACTAAGTGATGGAACTAATAACCTACAGAGTTTTACACTTCTGCTCTTGGTAGCAACGGGTCAGCACCCATCTGCTAGGAATGAAGGCAGCCAGTTGTTTGTTTTTAAGATGTTGGCAAGACTTCTCCACAGCAATTGTGAGAGATTTGTGGTTGCCAGTAACATTCAGGAAAAAGTATTCTTTGTATTTCAAAGAACAGCATCTACAAAGGACAGCTTATTAATACAATTGGAAAGAACACTTTTCTTTGTAATACTTCCCTGATAAAGCATATGATCAGCAGACCAACATTTCCATGGGTCCAGGCATTTAAGCACAATCAAGTTTCAGCACTTGACTAAAATCCTCTGCTTATTTTGCTTTTAGCTCTAGGAACCTCAGTCTTGAATTCTGTGTCTGTTTGGAGCAGGTCAGAGGAGGGTTTATAATAAAATCTACTGAAATAACACAATTTACAGTTTTTGCCATCACCAGTCCTGCTCATTAGATTAATTTTTTGCCCTGTTGAATCACAGCCACTGTTTTAACAAGAGGGAGGAGAGGCCCTTCAGAGTCCCTGCAGTTTGCAGCAGGTCTTTTGCAACAAGCCCCACTATCCTCAGGTTCTGCTCGGAGATGGGGGAGCCAGGAGGCCTGCAGGAGCATCAACTGCCTTTGCACTGCTGCTTCCTAACACAAACTGAATGAGGCTTTCAAGCACAGCTGTTCAGCTCCCAGGCTGAGGGGAGGGCTGGCCTGCAGTGCCTAATGCAGGACTGGGCACAGACATTGCTTAGTGGGAGGTGGGGAGAAGTGGAAAGCAGCCTTCCCCTTTTCAAAAAAGCCAGAATCAGCTCCATCCCCTAAGAATAGCTTTCATTCTGTTGTTAGAGGAATAAAATATTTATCAGTATTCAGTACCAGCCTAAGCTCTTTGCTTAATAATTAGCCCTGATATTACCTAGTGGCTCTGCAACCTGAGGGTGCAGTTACCTGTGGTGGAAACTAAGCTATCTCTAGCAATAATTCACCCATAAATCATTCCTTTCATTTTCACTGAGGTTAAAATACTTGCAAACAGCTCACACATGGAAAAAAGTAAAGTAAAAAGCATCATTTGCTCCAGGGTCCAGCTAGAATAGAGGAGAATACGATTTAGCCCTGTTCCTTTTTCATGTATGTTGTAAAGACAGTTGACTCTACCTTGCAGTCATCTGAATCTGCGGATAATAAGTCCAGTGAAATGTATTGGACTTCGCCAGCACAAAGCCAAGACCAGCAATGGGTCACTCAGGAGTCCAAGGTCTCCACCTGCCCATCAGTGAGCCCACAATGTCCAGAAAAGTGGTGCTGACCAAGAAAGAGGCATCCATATGCAGCAGGCAGCAGTGGTTTTTTTAACACCTTATTACAGTAGCCCTGAGCCCACAGTGGTAAAGGAAGGACTTGTCCCTACTTATTTTGATTTTTCAGAGGACTTCAGGCATCCAGCTCCCATCAAAATCAGTGAGGGTTCAGTCATTAACCCTAGATCTTGATACAGCTCCCAACAACATCTGTGACAATCTGAGATAAGTTTAAGAGTATTTGTATCAAGTTGCTGCGATATGGACAGGGTACTGTTTGATTTCTTTCAGGGACTAACTGCCTCCTGTACACAAAATTAAAATACACAATTAGATTTCCATTAACTTACAGCAAATTCTGCTGGATTGATCTGAACCTCCTCCTATTCCTATATGAGATCATACTTTAAATGCCCAGCCTGAACATAAATACTTAATGTAATAAATACAGTCTGAAATATTTGATCCACTTGGCAGTTTAATTGATCTACTACAGAGACTGACAGGAAAAATTAAATTAGTTTTGTCTTGTCTCTGCCAACATCACATTTAAATTGTAACAATATTTGATCTACATTTTCCGTTGTGGACTCTTTTGTGCAGTTCCACGGTTCAGTTTCAGGTGGGAACAGAGGGATAAGAGTGAGGCACATGCTGATACATAAATATTAATATAAATTTTTAATTATGTATTTTGTGTTTCAAGTCAAGAGCTTAAAGAATTTAATAGGTAGCCTTTCCAAAAGGCAAACCCCACATTCCTTTCCTCTTTCATTATTTGTGCGTATCAGCATTTGATATGGACAGCTGAATGACGACCAGACATGGAGGGAAGGAGAGAAAAAAAATCCCATTTAAAATTCTCAGGTATATCAATGCATGCTGTTTAGTTTTCAGAAAAAAATATTATGTTTGATTTAATTATTGTTATCTTCTCATAGTAGTCACACTGTTTTTCTTCAGCTCTGATCCCTTTCATAAGGATTGGAAGGTCAACAACAGCCTCAAGTTCATAGTGTTGATTACCAGTGGGAGCTGATTCAAAGGGAGCTCCCTCTTGCACTTCACAGATGACACCAATATTCTGTCTATTAAAGCCTAAGTAAAAATCAGGAAACACAAAAATGGCTTTATCCAGATCTTCTTGTGCTCTGAATCAGGGTGCTCAGAACAAGAAAGGCATGAACTCAATGCCTGAAATGGAGAAGCATCAGATGGTCTCAGTTTAATTTGGAATAGCCTCAAGGCTGCTGGAATTATACTAGATGGTTTCTCCTTCTACTGAGAAACTGGTGAAATGTGGAAGGTACCCTGTTCTGGCTGGAAGAGCACTTCAGAGGTGACAGCAGAGTCCAAATGTTATAATTTTGGCTGTGCCCCCTACATGCCCAGTGGAAACAACAAAGAGCTGATGATCTGGCTCAGTTGCTCTATCATCAGGAGCCTTTTTGTCTAAATAACTCGACACTGGAACTGGAGGATTTCATCCTCCTTTCTTTGTGCCAATAGCACTCTCTGGAAAAAAAAAAAAAAAAAAAAATCTGAAGTCAGGACTTGCCTGTTAGGGCAGGAGGGCTGGCAGCAAAGCCCACAGAAAATCTGGGAGAACAGAACCAGTCCTTTCAATCCTGTCAGCTCGGAAACCTCACCAACAGGACCCCCCTGCCCAGCCGAGGTCCACTAACCTAATCAAGATTTGTCCCAGAGGAACAAGACAGCACCCATTCCCTACCCATGGTTCTTACAGCTCCTAGTGTAATTCCTACTAATTACACTAATTCCTAGTGTAATTTCCTAGTATTTATGACAAAGACCAAAAATGCCTCTACCTGTGTGGTAGGGCCGTGCTAGAACTGGGGACCTGTGATACAGGAATCAAAATAATTTTCTCAAGGTGTGTGCACCTGCAGCAAACTAAAGAAATGTTTTAGATTCTCTGAAGTCAGAATGGCAGATAAACTAGGAAAAATGCCAAACAAATCCACTTAATATATTGGCTATGTTACATGAGAAAAGTCAGTAAATCCATAATCAAGACTGGCACTGAAAATAAAGGACCCCAAGAGTTTTATTCCCATCCCCCAGTCTTACGGTAAACAGCAGAGCTTCAATTCAGTAAACACCAGTTCAAGGGTGAGTTAGGTCCTTGAACACTTGTTTCATAGTGTTGGCAATGGAAATTGCCCAATGGAACTGGGCAAATTCCCTTCATCTTTCCATAATAGAAATTGAAATGTAATGGACGGGCAGTTCTAGTTACGTTTTAGGGTTTTGTCCTGGATACTGCAATTAAGCCTCCCTAATATGAACAGCAACCACAGTAGCAGCAAACCATAAGAGAGCCTGATAACCGTGCCCTGCAATACCCATCTGGATGTGCGTAATGCAGTCCCACTTCTCTTTCAGTGGTGTGAGGTGCCGTGAGAACCAACGGAGCTTTAGAACTTGCACAGAGCAGAGCTGTGGGTGAATTATGAAAGTAATTCCCTGGCAAGTGTAATTATTTCTCTCCTCATGCACTTCACTCATCATGGGGTCTGGGGAAATTTCAGCGGAACGTAACAGACACACTCTTGGCCTCAGCCACCAGAATGGTAGAACACATCCGCTGAAAAACGGAGATTCTTGTTTACACCCATTAATAACATCTTCTGCATTAATGAATTGCATTCATGCTGTCATCCATTAAGAAGGTACTTTGAGGTCTGTCTCTGCACAGAACACTAGCTTCTCCAGATGACTCTATAGTTTTACAGCCCATAAATAAAACAAGTATTTTCCCTTCATCTTTGAGGTCTGCAATTAAATCTACTAAATGGACTGCAGATGCCTGGCTTACAGTAAGTGTTTCATCTTGGAAGATCATGGAACTGTCGAAGTCACCACAATGAAGTAGCACAGTTGTCAAATCAGGGCAATTTCAGATAAAAATTTCACAGAAATTTCATCTCTGTGAGTCAACCTTTTTCCTAAGTATGGCCAGCGGTGAAACACTAAATCCCTGAAGCAGAAAACACTGTATACCCCAGAAATTATGACCTTGTGCTAATTTTTCAAATGAGGAATTGTATTTCTTGAAGGAATAGTACACAGGGAGATGATACAGTAGTTAACAGATGCTTGCTACTGAGTACAGCCTCCAATGTGCTAAACTTCAGAGAGACAGGAGTCAGGAAAAGGCCTGTTGTATTATTGAACAGAGAATTTTTGATAGAAACAGAGAAAAACTGGCTAGTGATAATATAGTCTTCTCTGGAAAAGTCTATATTCTGAATAACAGTTTTCTTTGCATAGTATAGCCAGCCCGTTTTATTAAGAGAATGTCCTGTGATGCCAATATCCTCACTCTGATGGGAAAAAATCTCGGTTTCAGAGAGAGCAGAGTTCATGGGGCATAGTGCTTAGGGAAAACAGCATTCTTCTCATTCATCAGAGCAGATCTCACGCTCCAACAATGTCCCCATATCCTAGAAATGGCACATGTGGAGTCCAGAGCCTAACAAGCACTTCACAGGCTTTCCAAAAGCAAAGTTGCAAGCTTATTTCCTGCCCCAGACTAAGCTGTCTTGAGGTTTCCTGTCTCTTGTAGACCAACTTCACCCTCAACTATTACATCCTCATACTACAAATTAGATCACACTGCCTTACGGACTAAGCTCTTTATCTAGCTTTGGAAAACTGGGTCTGCAGCCAAGCAAAGTCAGAAATAGAGAGGTATTAGTTTTTTTACTAAAGATGGAGAACTCTCAGATGACAGAACAAAAATGACCCCTGAGAGCATAAAATAACTATTAATTACTTACATCACCATCATCACTTGTTATTCACTGTATTGATTTTAATTGTTCTTCTAAAGCATCAGTCAAATATTACTCACCAACACCAGGAAGTGTTGGCTCACAAGTCCAACAAAACACATCTTGTCTCCTCAAAAGAATAAGAAAAGAACCTACACTTCCTAGTAGAACCTGATGTGCTGAGAGTGCTCATTTTTCTGCAGGCAGCTCTCTTGGCTGTACCAAAGAATGTGATTCCCTTTACTGGCTGGGATCGTTCTCCCAGTGTTGGGAATACATTCCTATTTGCAAGATCCACACAGAGGAGCTGCATTTGGTTTGACACTTTCATAGAAGAAAGCAGGGTCATGCATCCTTTCACAGTGAAATAATGCTATGATTCTGGAGCAAGCATTTTGCTTTCAAAAGCACAGAGAATTCCTGGTAGATTCAAGGCATGGCTGGCACAAGGAAAATACGGGGAAGACCTCTCAGTTGCTTCACTTTTCAATAAAACTTGCAAAATTTTGGAAAACCTTTCAACTTGCTGGATTTTCCCTTTTCCAAGCAATCCAAAAACCAACCAGTGCATAACTTTATGCCCTGTGCTGAGTTTTATGGGATTTGTGTGACATAAAGTCCCATGACTCCAGACTGACTGTGGCAGGGTTCTGGCATAATTTCTGCAGCAAAATGCAACTAGATTTTCAAGGGAGAAGCTTAGGTCCCTTAATTAAGGTGTATAAGGACATATAATGTTACCCACACATACACAGCTCCTGTCTCAAATGGAAATGAAAAGGGAGAGTCAAACAAACCGAACGGAGCATATGACAAAGTGTCATTTTAAGGTTTTGTGAACACTGGTGTCTTTCCCTGTCCTTTCCTTCCTTCCCAGTCATTATCTTTTCCTCCAGACTGACACATAAGCTTGGTTGTGCTGTCAAATACACTGGTTTAAATGAACCTGGAGTTTCCATGCCAAAGGAAAACAAACTGTGCATTAGGCCTGTGATACCCTTGGTCTGCTCAGAAGCTCTAGACAGCTGGTGCCCTGCTCACCAGTGAACAGGACCAAAGCTCAGCCACTGCTGTGCACAGCCCTACCCCAGCCCAGGTGAACTAACCTTGGAGAAATGGGGAAAGAGGAGCTTGTGGAGATGAGATGGGGAAAGAGGATACAATACTCCCTACATCAATACCACAAGAAAGATGTTACAATTATTCTCTGCTTGTATAGATCAGATTCCACCCCTCATATAATGTTAAGTTCTTCCCCCTCAACCCCAAAGCCATAATTTGACATTACTAAGACCTAGCATCTGTCAGCAGCAGCAGAAGAGCTCCCCTCAAAGCAGCAGCTCAGACTACCCATCCCTTGCAAGGACAGCAACATGCTGACAGGCACAGCTCCTGGTAGGCGGATACGCAGATGCGCAAATCTGTAACTGGATCTCATAAAATATAAATACTTTATCCCAAAATATAATACTTTATCCCAGTCCCCTTGCATGTACCTGGAGATTTCTAGTGCCAGGCAGGAAATACAAAACAGATGTTTCAGGAATGAACTGCATGTATAACACACAACATTCACAAAGACAATATGCAGGCATCTGATAACTGACTATTCCTATACCAATTGTATAAATAAAAAATCTCTGCTTACATTTGGGACCAGTTTTTCTGGGACACAGTCTCTTAGTCTGTGCAATTGACTATTTAATATCTACAGAAGATTCAGGAATAGAACTTTTTCTGCCCCTAGGTTGTAAAACTTCAATCAAGCAAAAAAGAGCAAATTATTAGTTTCTCAATTTAGTGGCTTAGCTATAAAATCAAAGAAAACAGTATCAGGAAGTCTTCCAAATAAATAAAACTAAAAATAAACAAAAACAACAGCAACAAAAAAATCCAACCCCCAAAAAAACAAAAAAACCAACCAGCTAAAAATACCAACCCCTCACCCCTTTTTTATTTAATTTTGCTTGGCTTTGTTAATTTGGCTAATATTTTGCTATTTTTTTTTCTTAAAATTTGGCAACTTTTAAACATGAAACAAGTTAGAACACAATGCATTTAGTTTTGAAAATGTTTGAACATAAACTTTAAAAAAAAAATCTTTACTTTCATCTAAATTATTCACTGAACACAACCCTTTTCCCACACTTTTCAACCTTCCTGGGACTACATTTATCAATGAACAATTTTTTTGCCTGAAAGATTTCAGCTGTATCTACTCCAGAGCAGCTGTTCCTGCCCAATGGAAAAAGTCAGAATTCACAACCCCAACAAGAGGACTCATGCTCTCCCAACAGCTGCTGCCCACTTACAGGTGACAATAAACCTTTCAGTTTTAGGGTTCAGGTCCACACCTCTGTGTCCCTTCTTGATTCAAAATTCCAGGTCCCAGCCAAAGAGCAGTAACTGCTCTTTTTCCCACCTACCAAAAGAGCAGTAATTGGGTTGTGTGTCTGGCTTCAGCTTTTTTTGAAAGTCAGGAGAGAAGGGGGTGCAGGGGGCAGGACACCTGGCTTAACACACAACTCAGGGGCTCCAAATATTTGCTTCAGGAATATACTTTGGCAGTGTTGATTTAACTGGAAATACAAGGAGTATGAGGTACGCCAGAGAATCCAGTGAGATGTATTAGAGGACATTTTTCTTTATAATGGGAGGTCTTTAACTGAGAAACTTTCCTCACAAGTTATTGCAGCACATCGGGACACAGAGTAAATGTATGTGCCTCTTTGTGCTTGGCACTGCTATGAGGCTTTGCATCCTATAAATCTATAAATTGAATTCATCCTGCTTACACCCTTAGTCTTATAAATTGTTAGACTAAGAACAGCTAATGGATGAGTAGGTGATTTATTTTTAAAAGATGCATACTGCTGCTTTTTGGAAACCGAAAGCATATAGACACGGGATGTACCCTTCCTGAAGGCTGGGTCCCAGGTAATGAGGAATTACTTTGTATCCTCCCCTGTCCCCAGGAACATGCTTTATTCAAGTTCTCAGAGGGAACCTCCTGTCCAAGGAGAGAAAGGTCTGGATGGTGCAGAGAAGCACTGCAAAGGAAACCACATGCAAAGAGCGGATGAGGCATCAGTAATGGTGCCAGGTACTACATAATGCAAAAGGATGAATATAACTAATTTATTAGAATAAATTTAACTCTTAAAAAAAGCATATGCAACAAAAACTTGAAAGGAGCAAACCCTACACATCTCACTCCTTGAGAGAAAACCTGACCTCATGAAAAGTAGCTGTAAGAGTAAAATGAAAGAGTTTTGCCACAAATGATGCTGTGTGATACAACGGAGACTCACTTCAGTACGTGAATCAGTCAGTACAATGACTACCAACCTAAACAGAAAGAGGGATCTGCCATTTGCCAAGGGTTTCCCTGCAGAGGGCAGTGGGACCATGCCACTTAGCTTCAAAGGGATGCTCTTTGAGCTTACACACAGGTTAAGTAAAGTAATTTACCTTTTAGAGAGGCGACATGGGATAAAGCTTGTGCATAGGTGGCTGTGTTGAGAAGCGTCCCCGGCAGGCAGGAAGGGAAGAAAGGGCCTGTAGGACCCACTGATCGGCTCAGGCTGATGGAGAAAAGAAAACAACTTCCTTACAAAACCAGAACCAAAAGCTGATTCTATTTGTGCCTGCACACAAACACCTTGGTGTCTCAGCATCCGACTAGATGTGACCCAGGCTGGACAACATCAGCCTCCCACAGCCACCAGCTCCTCAGCATCTCCACAGGGAACAGTGGATTGCACTAGAAACACCTCATTTTCTAAAGATGAAACCTGAAGGTCAAGGCATAGCAGAAAATCTATATGCATGCACACACGTATGAGGCATTCTTACCCCACAGACAAACAGCTGACATCATGTATTACTCTTACCTCTGCTGGATCTCCAGACCCTCTTTTTTGTTCCTGGTTTGATCTGCTGGAGAAGGGGAATTTAAATTCCTCGCAGGAGGTGCCACCTCAGCCATGGTTTCCTTAGAGCCCTCTTGGTCAGAAGCACCCCTCTCTGTCTTTCTCCATTTCGCCCTTCGATTTTGGAACCACACCTGGAGCAGGAGAGCAATCCTAGGTGAAAACCATGCTTAGCCAAATGTGAAGCAAGGAGATTGTAAATTGTTACTCTAGTGAAATCTGTTCCTTTAGTAGCTTGGCAAAATCCTTCTCTTATTTTGTATCCACATTGTTATTCTAGCTGAGTTTTAGGATTGCATTTGTATCTGTAATAAATCTGCATCTGGAAAAGAAGCCGGCAGTGTCTATAGACATTCAAAAGGCATGTCACAACAAAAATTTTAAAAGCAGTAGTTTTCATACTACTGTGCCAGTTAGCAAAGCATTTAATCACGTGCAAGCATTTATGACACATTTAATTCTCACTGACTTCTAGATATGGTGTTAAATACATATCTAAGCACTCTGATCAGAAATGAGAAGGTGTGTATCTGGCTGTCTTATCCAGCCCATTTTCTGGATAGGGCTGATACTGACTGTTCTTCCTCTCATGTCCAGTCTGCTTTTAGAGGACTAAAAAGCTGATAAATACTAATTTTGGAACATCATTCTGCAGTTTAATAATGTGGACTGGCAACTGCCCCTCACCTTAGGCCCCACTATGACCTCAGAATAGAACGAGTTTCCAAACATTTTTTTTTTTTCCCATATGCAAAACAAATATTCATATTTTTGATTTTTTTCACCTGACTATTAGTCTAAAAACTTTTTTTTCTATTAACCTTGGAGCTGATATGCTGAAAGCACCATGTTTGAGGTGGAAAATGCCAAGCATCTTTTGAGGTCAGGAAATCCACATTTTAATACATGATGTATACTTGAATAGTATAGGCAAGTATAGTAAGTATAGGCAAGATTGTTATTATTATTCTTCTCCTTCTCCAATTCCATTTCAGTTAGCTGCCTTTTAATTGCATGTATCAGCAAACATTGAATAATGATTTTATCTATATTCTAAATTTAGAGCAGTTAAATGCAAAGCAAAATGCAGACACTTTCTTGTGTCTTAATTGAATGAAGGTCACAGCTATAACAATATTTAATTGAGCTATTTTTCATTATCATATTTTAATGACTTTGCACTGACAGTTCGCCTGCTTCTGAGGAAAGAGCATGATGAAGTCGTTTATTTCCCTATTTAGTTATTGTTTGACAACATCATCTTCGATTAAGACTCTGCTTTATAGCACATTAATCATATTTGAATGAGCAAGGGGTATAAATGTAAACATATCTCCCATCCTCTGTGTTTCCCCATGTCCCTGCATGAAAGCAGGCTAAACAAATGCTTGCATCTATTGTCTGTTTTCATAATAGCCAACAACAAGGCTAAACACCAGTTCTCAGCAATCTAATTGTCACCACCCCTATCTCACCCTTGCACCTTTCAGGAAGAAGTTATGATCTTCCACTTCTGAATGCTCAATAATTGTCCCATTTATCTCAATTTGCAGTTCAGTCTTTAGGCACCAATAGCCAAAATGGCATTTTTTATTATTTTTTTAAGCCAGTACCTACAATGCAGTGGTAAAAGGAGATTTTCATTTCCAAATAATAATCAGTTTAATTTGCCCACATATGACCAATGATTCATGTTCAGATTTAATAATCAGGATCACATAATCTGATTATAGGAGAAATAATTTGTTTACAATCCCCAATTTACTGTGGTGAATTCCATTATCTCTCTTCAGCCATTGGGTTTTAAGAGATACTAACATGACCCTAGGGAACAAAAGGCAAGCTATTATATTTCCTACAATTAGATCTTTGCATAGCCTAAAAAAAAAAAAAAAAAAAAAAAAATAGAAGAACAGTGTGCAGAAAAGCCCCATAAATAAAAATGAATGCATAATTGTGTTCAAAAAAAATGGTTTGCAACTCTGTGGTGGATGCCTGAAGAGTTACAGGGATCCATCTCTGACAACTACAGGACTGCTTCTCTTGGCAGAGCACATACACATATACATGGACTGGATATGGAAAAACAAACACATGGGAGAAAGAAAAAACAACAAGGAAAAAGGTGAGGAGAAGGAGGAACGGAAGGGCTGGGAAAGCGTGGCTGTGGAAAGAGTAATCATGGCCAATGGTATTTATTGGATCATATTAAAGGTGGGGGAATTGCTCTGCAGGCTCTTCAGCTGCCTAAATGAAGTGTTTAGCAAGAAGGCGAAAGGGAGAGAAGTTGGAGAGGTGCAGGAGCTTTCTTCCTGGCAGCTGGGCTCCCTGCAGTTGACTAAGCCCGCTGCTCAACAGTGGTCATAGTTGCTTTGGAGAATCACGTCTCAGCTCTTTTCTCTGCACCACGCCCCCCCTCCAAAAGCAAGGAAATGGATGTGCATTGATGTAATTTAGTACCTTGGAGACGCGGACAAATTAGTGTAGAACATTATCACTAGTTAATTATGAATGACCGATTAATCAACCTAATCTAATATTCCACATTATGTTGATGTTATTAAAGTGCATCATGAAAATGACAGATCGTCTTCATTTGCGTTCTTTGGCCAAATGTGCACTCTGCAGTCATGATGTCAAATGAAAAAAAAAAAAAATTAAAAAAAGTTTGCCAGTTTGAATATCCGAGTTAAGTAATTCCCCAGGATGTTTACCTGCACCCTGGCCTCCGTGAGGTTGATTTTCAGAGCCAGCTCTTCTCGAGTGAACACATCGGGGTAGTGGGTTTGAGCAAAAACAGCTTCCAGGGCCTCGAGCTGATGGAGGGAAGGAGAGCAGAGATCCGTGAGGGATCCGTGAGGGATCTGTGAGGGATCCGTGAGGGATCTGTGAGGGATCCGTGAGGGATCTGTGAGGGATCCGTGAGGGATCCGTGAGGGATCTGTGAGGTATCCGTGAGGGATCTGTGAGGGATCCGTGAGGGATCCGTGAGGGATCCGTGAGGTATCCGTGAGGGATCCGTGAGGGATCCGTGAGGGATCCGTGAGGGATTTGGGCACCCCACGGGGGTGTCTGCCAGGCATGGATGATGAAAACGGGGTCACGGAGGCAGCGGGGCAGGAAGGATGGGGCTGGCACGGCCCGGGGCATGCGGGAAGGAGGCTCGGGCTGGCAGGAGCAGGCCCGGGGGAGCAGCTGTGGTGCAGGCAAGCGGGGCAGTGGGTGCAGAGGGAAGCGGGCTCCTACCTGCTGCAAGGTGAAGGTGGTGCGGTTGCGGCGCTGCTTCCTTCGCAGGAACCCGTCGTCGAAATCGCCGGCGGAGTGTCCTCCGAAGGGGGCCGCGCCTGCGGGCCGAGAGCCGCGTTAGGGGCCGCAGTGCCCGGGCACGGAGCCGGGCACGGAGCCGGGCACGGAGCCCCCCGGGCCGGCAGTGCTGCCCCATCTCCGCCGACCCCGNGGGCTCGGCACAGCCCGGCAGCGGCGGCTCGGCCCCGGATGAACCCCGGCAGTCCATAGTGGGGCTGGAGGAGGCCGCCCTGCCCGTCCCCGACCGGCGTTCGAGGGCCCGACCGGGGCAGCGGGGGTTTCTCCCCAGACGGAGGGCGGGAGAGGGCGGATGGGCCACCGGGATGCGAGCCACGTTCCATGGAGCAGCCCTGGCCTTCGTGGCTCCCCCAGTCACACATCATCCGTGCGTGCCCGTGTTGAAATATGTCACTGCTTTTCTGCTCGCTGACAAAAAAGCCCCACAAACAAAACAAAACAGACCAAAAAAACACTCAGAACTTAAACCAAAGAAAAAAAGAAAAACAAACAATCAAAAAATAAAAACAAAAAAACAAAAACAAAATAAACAACGAACAACCCCAAACAGGAAAAAAAACAAACAAAAAGAAAGACCCTCAAACCAAAACCCACAAACGAACGAACAAAACAAAACCAAAATAAACCCTCACGGAATAGAAAAGTACCCGCACCCCCAGAAGCGTTGCTGAGTGTCCCTGTGACCCCGCTCACAGACCTGCCCCTGCAGTGCTCTGGGGTACGTGGCTGGAGGTCACCGCACATCTTACAGCATCGTTTGGAAGATAAACAAGGCCCCGAGCCCTCTCCTTGCACAGACCTCACTCCATGTGGGCCTGGGAGAGGCTCATCACAGATTAAAAAATACTGTCCCGGTGGCCGCTAGAACGCGGTCTTTTCCCTGCAGCACCGGGCCTCCCCGGCTGCCCAAACACTGGCCGAACAGAGCTTTTCTGCTCCCTCTTCTTTGGTTTGGTGATGGGTGCCTGGGGGGGCTTTGGACGGAGGTGTATATTTTATTTTTTTTTTCCCACTTGTGATGCCCAACGCTGTTTTCACTCTCTGTCAGGACAGATCGCCGCTTCCCCCCGCCCCGCTGCTGCCCAAGCCGGGAGGGCGAGGGGCCGGCCCCGGACAGCGCCGGGAGAAGCTGCTGCCTGCGGGCCGCCAAACACAGCCCCGGCCCCACGCTGCCAGCGGAGAAACAAACACACGGCAAACAAACAAACAAACAAGCCAAAGCAAGAGCACGTTTTCCAAGCTGTCTGCCGAAAATTAGCAAACAGAGCAGCCTCAGCACCGGCGGGAGGGACCCCAGCACTGTCCTGCCCAGTCCGGCTCCCCTGTCCCGCCCGGGGAAAACTTTGGGGAGCAGATATTCCAGATATTCCGGGATGCACAGACCGGCTTGGATCCACTGGCCCTGGGAAGCCGTGTTTAAAGAGGGGCTGACCCTCCCCCGAAGTGGGATGAAACCGCTGGACCACTTCTTCCTGCCAGCACCGCCGCAGGGAAAGCCCCTTTCTCTGCGGGCGATGTCCGTGCAAGGAGCGGGGTGGCCGGGCAAGGGGATTTCACGGGCCAGGGCCGCTCTCCCTCCCCGCCGAGCAGTGCTCGGGCAGGACGGGACAGCCCGCCGGGGGCTGCTGCTGCTGCTCGGCCGCGGCTCCGGGGATGCTCCGAGCACTGCGGGCAGCGGCCGGGGGAGCGCGGCCAGAGGGCCCTGGGTATCTGCGGGGTGACACGGGGAAATCCTGAAGGCTGCCAGGTTTTTTAAAAAGAAATCAACAACAACGACAATAACAATAATAATAATAATAATAAAAATAAAAAAGGCTCTGACCAATAACACAAAGAAAAACATCCTCCCAAGTATTTATTTTCCGCTATTTTTTTTTCTTCTGTTGTACCTCATTTTTCCCCATCCTCCCACAGAATGTTTGTAAAATAGCATTAAAGATTTATGCGGTCCCTTTGGCTGGAGGGAGGAGGCGTGACCACGTCCTGAAAGTGTCCCGATTACAGCCATGACACCAACATCTGTGCTGGGAGGGAAGAAAAGCATCTCTCTTTTAGCCTGAGGCTCAACTGCGGGATCGCTATCCACAGAGGGGAGGCAGGTGGCAAAATGACGGGGGTGGGGGTGTAAAACCAAGCCCTTTCCAGCAGGAATCAAATTAAGGGGAAAAAAAAAAAAATCATTCAATCCGTCTTTCCTTCCTGTGACAAGAGCGGAAAGCTAGGAAGAGGGAAGAGGATATGGCTGTATTTTCTAAAGGAAAAGGATGCTATTTAGCTGTCTCTATAAATTTGCATCTTATCCCAGCATGTATTTGTACTTGACAGTCGTGGCGCAAGTTCGGTCACAGTTTCTCCTCCCGTCCCCAGCGCACCCCCCACCCACAGACACCTCGAAGTTCAGCTCTTGCACCTTACACATCTCTGTGCGACAACACTCACCCTCTAGCTGCGGGGGGCAGTGGAAGTAGAACATGGCCCTGCGGCTGGGTGCGCGCACGCTGCTCGCAGCTGCGAGCCCGACGGCGGCCGGGACCGGGACNCCCGCAGACCCCCCGCACCGACCGACCGGCACCAGCTCCCCAGTCGGGCACCGCGACGCCACCGAGGTACCTCCTGCAGACCTGAAGACACAGAGGGAAAGAATAGAATAGGTGAAGAGGCAGAAGAAAACACCTGAAGAAACTCACTGATAAACCTAAAGCCCATTCCAGAGGAAGAAGAGAAAGTAGTGTCTAATCCTGTGCAACGAATTTAAAAAGCCAAAGGCAAAAACCTCTGTGGTTGGCATACAGAAACCAGAATCAGCAAAACTTTGTTGTTTTATTTTTCTGCCTGGAATAGCAGATTGTGCCACTCTTGCTCTTCTATCTCTCTCTCTCTCTCTCTATCAATCTATCTATTATCTATCTATCTATCTATCTATCTATCTATCTATCTATCTATCTATTATCTATCTATCTATCTATCTATCTATTATCTATTATCTATCTATCTATCTATCTATCTATCTATCTATCTATCTATCTATCTATCTATCTATCTATCTATCTATCTATCTATCTATCTATCCATCCATCTCAAATATTCCTTTATGGAGCAAACAGTTACATAAAGAAAAAAAATGTTTGTAGGTAAGATTGAACTGCATAAAAGAAAAGCTAAATTATTCTGCCTAAATAAACAGCAATTATACCTAAAAGCTGCCTTCTTTTTAAAGCATCCAACATACTGGGAGCCAATGTCCTCAGCAAGGAAAAAAAAAACCCAAACGACAATTCAAATTTATATGCAGTCATTCTAAAAACAAACAAACAAACAAAAAATCCAGAAGGTACATGAATATAGTAATCCATACCTAAACCGAACAGAAGTAAAAATCACCGGTAAGGTTTGGGGGTGTTTTGCTTTAGAATAAGGCGCTGTGAGTTGTTGGCTGCAGAGACAGAAGGGCTCTGTGGAGTTCTGGAAGTGGCCAGATGTCTTTATATCTGTCTACAGCATGCTCTGCCTCTCAGCACTTGCCTTTATAATCTCACGCATAATTGGCCTTAATCTGATTATTTCCAGCGCTGTCTACAGTGAGTAACTTGGATAGGTCTATTGGGCCCTACAAATGGCCCACGTGGTGTGCAGAGCAGGGGGGGTGGAGAGGATGAAAAGAAAAACCCGTCATTTCTCAGCAAACGCCAGGAATGTGAACAGCAGCACCACAATCCCATTATTTTCTGAGCGCTGGCGCTCCGGGGCTCGCAGCCCCCTGCGTGTCCCCCCCGGCCCGGGTGCCCCCGAGCGCTGCCCCGCACCCCGGTGCTGCCGGAGCGCCGGGTAATTGCCGCCGGATGGGTTTTGGGGGGCCGCTCTGCACACGCCTCGCCTTTCCAAGCGATCGTACCACGGCAAAGTTTGATTTTGTTCGCAGCGAGGGGTCTCTGGATTTATGCTCGCTTCCCGTCTGCAAATGATATGCGGCGGGACCCTTCGCAATTACTTTTAAAATGCATCCGAGACATAGGCTCAGCGGAGAGAGATGGCCCTTGCCTCAGCCCGGGTGAAAATTAGACTTTAAAGTACCCAGATGAAATTTTCAAGTCAGGGACGCGGGATTGGATCAAATCACATAAACTGCAAAAAAAGCAAGTATAATGGCGCATAATTGGTTCTGTAATAGCATTACACAAGGATAATAGCCTGTTATGGCCCCCTGCACATTAAGTGCTTCCCTGGCGTAAAGCCTTTATGATATTAAAGGGGGAATATAATGATATTTTGGTTATTAAATGCGTGTAATTAATTTATGCACCACTGAAAATAAAGTTGGTATTATGACCCACTCAAGATGCATCAGAAGATGTAAGTCAGACAACTGTTGATAAGTTCTGGTGTCTATGTTTCGTCTAGACTGCTGATTTTATTTTGGAACAATTGCTTCTCCGGCAGACTACACAAATTTAATATTTTATAAAGATTGTAATGTTCTGTGCAGGAAGGGCGAGCAAATCTACACAGGCTCTCTTAGATCTGATGGGAGTTTAAAGACAGCACATTCATACCAGAGCAAAGGAGATGGATACAGGCAATACAGGTGCAGGAATAGTGATTTTGAAGAGATGATGTCTTTGGAAAGTTGATTCTGTACATATGATCTCATTAAATAAACACTAATAAGCCTTAGAAATATCACCTGCTCTTTTACATTAGGCATAGATGTGGAAATTCCCCTAATGCATATTCAAGCTGAAGTTATGTTCCCATCCTGTGAAGCATTATTTCAGCAAAGCAAGGCAAAAATTAATTTTACTTGAGATACAAATTGATTTGATCTGATCCTATCTTATCCATTCACTTATAATTTTAGCCTAGTAGTAACAGATGTAGAAGGCTGTCTTCACGTGTTTCATGTATGTTTACATGTCTACACGCACTTAGGAATACTTTTGTTTGACAGCAGATATTTGCTCACCATCCAGGCAAGACTCTGAGCAGTAAAATATACCACAAATTGAGATGGCTTTTACATCACCACGCAAGATCAAAGACCGATGCTCTGAATCTGACTGCACTCAATAGCAGCGCAAGCTTAAGGTCAAGCAACCTTAAAAAGAAGGCCGTAACCCAGAGGTACTGCCTGGATCTCCCCTGCCCGTCTCTCCCTCTTGAGCTTTAAAATGCACACAGGGCTGGTACTGTAGGATCCCTTTGCACAGAGACAGATGTGCCTTTTTCTTTTTCTCTGACGTCGGGAAGAGATGAGCAAGATAGTGTTTTATCATAAGAACCCCTAATAAAATAATAATAACTTCATTATGGCGCTCTCAGGCCTTGCTCTTGTCAGGGGGCTGCATTGCTGTTTTGGCTCCAAGACTCA